GTAAGTATAGACGCTCTAGTACCAATATGAACGACAAAACGAAATTGGCGATGCTCGCTTTCTAGCCCCTCTTATCAGCTATTATCAGTCGTTATCAGTTCCTATCACGTACCACTTGTGTCCCCATCCCACCCCCTATAACATATGTAAGAACCACTGCGCTATCGTTACTGTGACTCGAGCTATGAATTTCCGGTCAAACACACACACACACCAACAGACACACGCTAGCCGCTTATATATAGTAGGATTGTTCTAGCAGCAAGAAAGACGCCACTTAAAGTGCGCTTTGCATGGAGCGGAGTGAGCCCAACATGACCAATCAAGGCCTTTGTTTTTACCGTAAGGTCTACTAGTCGTAGAATCAGAAACACTGACTAGCTATCGGGTCGCTCTACACTCGCTGTTCAAGTCAACTTGCATCCAAGTTTCACGCTGCACTTGTGAATGAAAGTGAAGTGCGTGGCTCAAGAAAATGGGTTGACACTGAATTCCGAACTTTATGCTCTACTTCAGTCGGAACCAGCTCCTCTAAACTTGAAATTTTGAAGGGATATTTCGCGATAAACATGGTGTGGATTGTGATGCATCTGAAAATGGAAAAAGTTATGCTATTCTGGATTTCTCGTAATAAAGGAGGGTGAAAGCTCATCTGAAGCCCCTCTCATTGGTTACCTCTTATTGAATTTGAAAGATAAAGGATAAAGCATTTGCCGTTGATCAATCCCTTTTTGGGATGCGGCACGCATTCTACTTCCATTTGTACATTCGTAGTGGCGTTTGAATGCGATGTGGCCTACAAGTCAGTGTTTTTATCCTCCCAGACAAGTCTGGTACCAATTAACCGACCCCGGAGGGATGGAAGGCTTGGTTGGCCCGGGCGACTCACGACCCAGGATTTGATCCCCGGACCGCTCGCGTGGTAAGCGCGCCACTTGCCACTACACCACTTCCGCCCTTAAACTAGTAATCTTAAAATGTTCCGTCATTTCTACAAACCACAGAGAACTGGATGGAAAACTGGATTCCATGCGGCACAAAATGTGCACCTTCACGTGAAATTGTCATGGGGATGGGGAATATGCTGATAAGTGCCACGCCCTATGACATATCATTAAAGTTGTTCCTGATAGAGGCATGCTCTAATATCAACTGATGCCTTGCACACAAAAATGACACCATTGGGTGCCGAAAGTGCGCATAACAGAATAAAGGAATCTAAAGAAAGGCCAAACTCAAGGGCTTCGTTATTTTGGGCTAAGGAAATGACAGATTGGACACGGTGGAGGGAGGATAGGCGAGAGAGCACGACTGAAGAGGGGCGCCAGAGATGCTGCGAAGCAGAAAAATGAAGCGTCGAAAGCGATCTTTGCAGGATGCTAGCGCCTTTCGGGCGAAATCCATTTGCAGAAATGGAACCCATCTGTGAATGTGATCCAGGCGATCCTACAGTCGGCAAAGAATCGATCATCTGACTTCTGCCAGGGCTGTTATTTTAATCCTCCACACTGCCCCCCCCCTCCCCTCTCCTCGATGAATTACATTTTTGTAGCAATACTTGATCGTCGAATTACTGTGAGCTGCACACTCTCACAACAGTCACCTGAAGTATCACAGCCGAAAAAGGCTTTTTTCATCAGTCACAACACCATAATTACCATAATTACCGGACAAGAGCTTCTTCAGTGCTAAGCAATTTTATGCAATTCTGTTTAGGAGCATCACCCTCGGGTCATAGTGGCGGAGGATAGGGTTCCGTGTTGACAGCTCTCTCAGAAAGACAAGAACTCTACCTCCTTGATGTTGGCCTATGATATAGTTTAGGTCTGCACCCTATTCCACGAGATCGGTCAGGAAAACTGTACTATTCCAACACTTCGATATCAATTCCGATCAGTGAATGTTGAGGTGACATCTGTTGCTCAATGCTTTTGAAGAATGAAGTCACACTAGAAAGTACTCGACCATTTCAGTGGAATTACTTTTGTGAAAGCGCAAAGACCATAAAGAATTCGATTTCGATGCAAATGATTGGCGTGCTAATCGGGTCAGCATTGTTCGGTCAAATTAGCGACTCATTTGGTAGACGAAAGGTGAGTTCGTGAGAGCAAATTAATGTGACCACGTGACTTACCAACAGGAAAAGATTTTAGGGCATGTTAGTGACGATGACAGGGATGGCTATCGGATGGATAGTGGTTGCAAGGTCCTCCAGCCTTACCTTTTTCACGGTCAGCCGTACTGCTGTAGGGTTCTTCACCGGCGGAAGCATTTCGTGAGTATGAACCTGGAGATCGCTTCCAATGCAATGTTTGTTCTCGTTTAGAGTGTTGAATGTATTCATCATGGAGAACATTCCTAAAAGACATCGAATGTGGATCAACATGGCGATCACCTGGTCTCCTAACATGCTACCATTTGCGGCTATGGCATGGATGACCGGAGAATGGCGCTCATTAGCCCTAGTCAATGCTATCGTTTGTGTACCTGGTCTCGTGTTTTGCTTGTGGGTATTAGACATTAACAACTACTCTGGTGGCCATACCAGAGATTTCTTTTCAGCCTGTGCATCCATGAATCACCACGATGGTTGATTCAGAGAGGAAAGGTCGTCCAGGCCCAGGAAATAATGCGGCGTGAATTTGGCATTTCAAAGGAAGGACTAGTCCACGAAAACCTGCATGATGTTGTAAGAGGGGAGTACGAGGTGAGGTTATACTATGTATGGGATGAAAAGGGTAGCAATAGTTGTCACTACAAATATATTTCCCCAGACGAGCGGCGCTGGCGCAGTGCCTAGTGACGCTGTCTGTAGGTTCGTAGATCAAGACGTATCCAACTCAGCTGAACTTTGTTTTACTTTGGTCCTGCCAGCTCATACGAGAATTGTCTTGAATGTCACTACACTACGTATAGTGTCGAATAACTGCCACATGTACAGGGGACAAAAAAAAGTCACTTTGCCCATGGCGCATATCATCAAACTTTTCGTCGCAAAGGATGCCGCTGTTATTGGGAGTTATACGGCGAATTATTCCTTAGATGTCCCCCATAAGCAGAATCAGGCCCACCTTCGCTGCTTTCACCGTCTCCAGAATATGACGTCATCTGTCATCACCGTCGAGCTCAAGGAGGCCTACCATAATCGCTCCATTCTGAAGCTGCTACATAATTTCTTCAATCGGATAACTGGTGAATGGCTTCTTAGAGACACTAGCTCTGACTATGCAAGATGGCTTTTAACCAGAAGGCACAACCCAGGCAGAGGTCGTGTGAAGATCAGATCTTCGGTCAGAAGTATAGAACCCTAGGGGACAATCACAAATGTGGCGTTCACGTGCACGGAATTCGACCGACAAGAACGCTTTGGGCTTGCAAAGTAAGCTGCTCGAGCTGCAGCGAACGAGCTCTCTTATCAGGCCGTTGTCTGGTGCTCTCTCATCTGATGCGCTCTCTCGCCCCATACTCTCCTCTTCGCGCTTAGTCTCTCGTTCCTTTAGCACAGCCAATTAGGAAGGTGAGTGAGCCCTCAACCTGAGCGTTTTCGACGGATTCTTTTCCTTTTTTCTTCACTGCCGGCCCACTTGGCACCGATACATTCACATTCGTGTGCAAGAGCCACACCAGTGCGATCCTGGGGCATGCCTTTAATCCAGCGTGTCTAGAGGTCGTAGTGGTTCTAAATGGTGTCTCGTACGACCATCGTTTGAGCTCGACTTGTGAACCATTGTTTCGCGTGGAAAATCTTTTTAAGGGGGGGGTGTCTGTTCGGTGTAAAGCCTATTTTAATTTTTTATCTAGACTATGGAATTCGCTTCAATATGCTATTTGGAGCTCAAATTCTGCTAGTTTTGGTAAAATCTGTGTAATTTAATTCTGTTTTTGAACGTGGACGGTAAAGTGATTCTTTTTGGCCCCCCTCCTCCCCGTAACCCCTCCCCTGTATGCCTTGGGATTATGGTGAAGAAATGAGTGCGCGGCGCACTCCAAAGCGAATGACAACACAAACAGGCCATCCTTCAAGAGTCGGATTTAAACGCAATTTCATCCCAGCAGTGTTTATTTTTGTTTAGATCGTAGGAAAATAGCTATGAAGTTTTATGAAAAAGCCCGGATAACAAAGTTGCGAAACTCGACCCCATTTCGCGGGTTCCATTTATGGTGGTCCAAAGACCGTAGTTTTTCAAGTTCGTATCTATTCAAGGAAATATTTTGTATTTCCACCGTGAATACACCCGCAGAAGACTAGCCATAGAAGCTGACCACAGGCGTAGATTCGCTTATTCACCCGAGTCATTTTTCTTGTATACAATCCATTATAGCTGATGCTTCGTGCTGACTCCCAAAAGCGTCGCTATTCATTCTATCATCTATTTTGCTCTCCGAAGCTTGCCATCACCACCATAGTTCTGGCGTTCAGCTAGTGAGTTTTTCCTTTCAAAGTGTACTGTGAACTTTCCGATGTCCGTGCTGGTTACACGGCAAGAATTTGTGTTCGTTTCAAGGTAAGGGTGCAGTGTACCACATAAATTGAGAATTTTTTTCTAATGAAGGATCTTCAATCTTCGACTTTTCGCAGCTTGATTGAACATTGAAAAAAGAAACTAACAGCCCGTCTCAATCGAATACATTATGGTAACACAGTCACCTGAGGCGAGTGGGTGATCGAATGGGAACAGTACATTGGCAAGAGGCACCGCCACGTTGTGTGAAATGATGCTTCGTTGGGCCTCGCACCACCCGACGTACAACTTTTCGTTCGAACCTCTGGCTGATTAATCTACCAAAAGCGGTGGAGAGCTTGGTCGCCCCGATCGGCATTCAATCAGGACTTTGACTCTCGAATTGAGACTTCATTGGTCATAGGGCTATTTAGCCGGGCATTTCATTCTGGAACTATGCATATTATAAGTGAAGCAATAGCCATTACATCGCCTTCACCTTTCCATGCGTTGTTCCTGCCCTCATGCTCAACCGAACGACTTAATCAATAGAATAGTGAGAGGACGCGAAAAACCAGATTGCCAGCCGCGAAGTCCCGGATTATGCCTTTAATTCGCCACACGGTTTAATTGGGGGTTTGAACTATTAGGCCGAAGATTAATTACTAATCAGGACTTCTTCGTTTTCTCATAGCCCTCAGATACAGGAAGGGGTTTGAAGTATACCGGAAATTCTCGTGGACACTTGAATTTTTAGAGGTTTAGCCCTCCTTCCCTTAAAAACGCGAATTCCACGTCCAGTTTTGGAATTCTCTTGAAAAAATCCACAGTATTGAACCTAGAACTGCATTTATATTTGGTGTGCTGTTAAAGTCGAAAATTCTACAGAAAAATCGCTTTAAAGGACAATTTTGCCTTGTGAGCAGAGTTGGGCGCGCCAAAAACAGGCGTGGTCCCACGAGCAAGCTACGTGCAAATCCGCATTGTCGTCAAAGGGTCCTATCGCGCTGCGTGCTGTCTGTCTTTTGCTGTGAGTTTCTTTCTTCTTCGATGAGTTTAATTGAGGAAATATTGAGTAATGTACGGTTGAAACTTGACCGACGCTGGAGACGTCATTGAACTTGCTAGGAGAATGAGAAGGCGAATCTCCTCCTTCAGAGTATGATTGAGATCTGAAAAGGTGCGAAGATGAACAGTATTCCACTCATCGGACATCGGTTCATGATAGGAGGTTCGCAAAACTACTTTCCACTTTGAAGTAATAGCATCAGTGCTTGAGTACAAAACATTCATGCTGATATACGTGAAATCATTCATATATTTCTACGCTAGCTCTGGGAGCGGGCGAGCTGAGATATTACTCTGAGGGTTAAAATAATGAGCTATGTTTTGTGAAATTGTAGTTCGTAGGGGCACCATTTTTGATTGTCCATTTCCCGATAAATTCGAGCAAACGTGGTAAATAAGCTCGGCAGTTTTTTAGAAACTATAGAAACGTACCGAATGAATAGGCAAAAATGACGAGGGCCAGGGAAACAACGATAGATCACCAGACTAGAGGGGATGCACAATACTTGTCGGCGATTACGTCGCATTTCAAATCGCTAGCCCAATGTGTCAAATTGAATGTCCGATACTGAATGGTTGAAAGATGTGTGATGGGTTGTTGAGACGGAATTCCAAGCTGACGGTAACAGAAACACAACTTTCATAATTAATTGGCGTCTCCCTGGCTTGGCAAATAGTACACGCAAAAACTAGCGCATTCAGTCATTGCGGTTTGTTTAGTATACAATTACATAGTTTCGGATACCCGACAAGAAACCATTAGCAAGGGTCAGCGTGGCGTTGAGGAATCCTGCGACGCCGTCACACGGGTCGTATTGCCCGCTGCGGAGGAAGGATCGGGCCGGATTGACGCATTATGTTACTATTAATGTTTTAGTTTATTTCAATGGTTCTTCACAAGCTGAAGAATCCGAAATTCGTACGCTTTCCAAGAGATATTTTATCTTTCAAATGAGTCCTCGAATCTGAAGGGATGTGAAGCACACGGCGCATCCCAGAGTGGGCCCAGTTGGTTGCGCGCGCTTCAACTACGGCTCTCTGGAGAAAGGAATCTCAATTCAGGAAAAATCAAGAGGATTCTGAAAGGGTTCATGTGAAATTACAGGGAGGAGTACACTATTCAACAAGAAATGCAGCCTTCAGCGTCAAATTCACAAGCATGTAACCTTAAAGTTGAGACACGCTAAACAATTTTACACTTTTGGAAAGAGAGAAAAGCACGAATATCTTCGATAATGTATACTTTTAGTAGTTAATTGCCAATGAAAGTACAGTGAGTCGTTGAAATAGCTGCATTGCAGTAAGAAAGTACTTTCGGCGGTACTCGGGCAAAACCTAAGTAGCCATTTTTTGAACAATGGAACGTAGTTAGTAATCGATTGAATTAGAGCAATCTTCTAGTTATGATGAATATTAACTTCAGATTGATGAGTTCAAATGGAGTTATGGTGGGGGGGGGGGGTGGATTGCGGGCGGGACTTTGGGAAAGCGTAAAAATTCGCACTCATACGAATTTCCTCGTGGTTTAATTTTGCAAATTCTCAAGTGGGACATTGTTAAATAACGGGAGTTTTTAGCGAGTTCAGTACTTTTGATAGAGAAAATCTTCTAGTTTTGTCTGACGTATTAACTTTTGGAATTTGACGAAAATGAAGCAAGTTATGGCTTCGGAAAGTGTAAAAACTCGTGCTCGTCATGAATTTTCCTCGTTAATTGATCTAAATTTGTTATTTCTTATAAATTTTTGTAATTTCAATACTGATTAGAAAGAGCTCTTCACAAAACTCCCAAATCTGCTTTCAGATTGAAAATTCGTCATATTTGAAGAAAGTTATAATCATTTGAATATTTGTTCAAATTTCAATAGTACATAAGCTGCTCCACGGTCAACGCCAAAGGATCAGTCAACACACAGCTGGTTAAGCGTGGTGATTTCAGTCTTCATATTACTTGCAAATACACCGTGCACCGATGGAAGTAACCAAGTGGGAGCGATTCTCGCTAGAGCATCCTCAGTTATCAAATGAAACAGCAATTTTTGCTGTCACGAGAATTCTTGACGTAGTTTTTCACTGATATGATAAGCGTAGTGCTCGAAGACGTAATGCATTCCAGAAAGCTGAGAAGCCGTGCAATTATTAGGTAGGGAGACGAAATAATACTTATTTTCATGAATAGTGGCAGCAGAATTTTACCTCATCAGGCCGGTATAGACTGAGTTTAAGTAGAATCGTACGCTCAATTTTCCTATTGAACAAAATCCCGTAGTTGACAATAGAGGTGGAAAAACTGCAAGAAAAATTGTTTCAATGCAAAAATTATGGCAGAGGTCTTTCCTAACAACTCCTCCGTCTATCTGGCAATTCTTTGGAATCGTACAATTTACATGCTATCAATTAAGGGAGGAGGTGCTCAACGTGAGCCGATCCTGTTCGTAATGTGCCGTATTTCCGACTTCTATTCAAAAGCTTGGGAGAATTTCATTGCCATTTTGCTGATACCATGAGCTACGAAGGTTACCTGGTGTTGGAGATCTTTTCTTTCCAATGACCGTATATCAATTAAAAAAACATGGAAACATGGTTGAGCTTGGGTTGGAACTGACCCTGGGAGAGAATCCCGAGCGACAATTACTGTAAAAGCAGCGTTTGGTCACTCCACCTCAGAACCCTATTTTTGCTTCTCTCGACTATCAGTGTCGCACATTGCTGAGAGATGAAGAGCCCTTGCCGGTCCGTTTACAGTGGTCGACGGGTAACGTCTAGCTGTGCAAGATATGTGGCTTGAACCAAGCTTTTTTGGGTTTGATTTTTAACACTGGATTTTTTTTTGCTAGCGGGAACGACGAGGCGTGGCTGGTCATGAACAAAAGAAAAAGTGCCGCTGGAAATGCTCAAATTGAAGGGCTTATTCATGTTTCTTTGTATGTTTAGCTGTGTTAATACAATGATGTCCGAGAGCAGGAGGAGAAGGGGATAGACGAGAGAGCACAACGGATGAGGGGGTGCGAACACTCGCATGTGTTCGCACCCCCTCATCCGTTGTGAGCGGAAACGCGGCAAGACCTTAGCACCTTATACTATCAAACCTAAATAACTGGAGTTCGGCTACTGGGAAGCTTCTACAAACCGCTTACAGGATGGTCATAGCTCCATCGGAACTTGTGAGGTATGCCTTTCGCCCTATTGAATATGCATTTATGCCAGCGAAGTTCGACCCTTATCAAGGCAAGTCCCGCGATTGGGCTCCTTGCAGCGTCGCACCCCCCCCCGCCCGCCCCCCCCCCACCCGCCCCCCCCCCCCCCCCCCGGTCGCGATTGGGAGATAAGGATAAAGCATTTGCCGTTGATCAATCCCTTTTTGGGATGCGGCACGCATTCTACTTCCATTTGTACATTCGTAGTGGCGTTTGAATGCGATGTGGCCTATACAATGACTTGCGGGGGCCAGCCGATGTTCAAGTCAGTGTTTTTATCCTCCCAGACAAGTCTGGTACCAATTAACCGACCCCGGAGGGATGGAAGGCTTGGTTGGCCCGGGCGACTCACGACCAGGGCAACCCTACGTTGTTACGAGTAACAACGGGGGGTCGTACTCAGTTGAGCTTGGAGGGGGGGTCGTACCCTCTCGGTGGCCGACAGTGGGATTCTTGGTAATATCGGATAATAGCCAGCACGTTACGTTTTCGTAAGATGACTGGTACTAGAGCATCTATAAACCACGCTTCCCTCTAAATGAGCTTTCAAATGAATCAGCGAATTAGAAGGGCGCCCGAGGCGTGGCGCGCACCAAGGCAAGGGATGTAGTGCAAGCGCATGCTCGGAGCTTTCTAGCACATCCTAAATTAAACATAAAATTGGTCTTCCAAGAAGTTACGGGCAGTGAAACCTAAGAAAACTCGCGTTTTCGAGAAA